CTAATAGTTACACGCCAGTTGGAAGTATGTGGAGCAGCACACATCTCTGATACCTGCAGCAGCCTCTCCATTTCTAGGTTTGGCAGTGTCTACCAACACGGTAAGTAAACTTACATCTGTATAGCTTCTGGCAGGCAGAACAAGGGCATTTCTGTAATTCCTACAGGCTGCTCAATCTGCAATCCCAGGATGCCAAGGGGACTGATTTGTCACTACCAGGGTATGTGGAGAAAGATTAACGTCAAAGTTCTGATCACATTCCTTAACAAGACGTTAAAAATTACATACATGAAAGCAAGAGTAAGGGTTTTCTTTAAATCATTTTATGACCCTGTCGATGCAAAGAAGACTCATCAGTGAAGGGACAACTGAAATCAGAGCAAATATATTTGAAATGCAAAATTCAATTCAATCAAAAAGTATACATTAACAGAAGTAAATAAAAAATTGTGAAAGAATATACAAAAGTTCCCTTCTTCCCCTCCTCCCCCTTTGAATTAAATAGGCTGAAAACCCCTTAGTTTCTCTACTCAAACCCAGCCAAGCCCTCAAGTGAAGTTTCAAGTAGTTCTCATGGCAGTAATGCAGTTTTGACAGTTCAGACAGTGTTTAATTTTGTTAGAGGCACATATATGACATACATACGGCATAAATATTTTGCAGTTTTAAAATAGAACTCTAAGCTGATTCTTGCAATACATCACAAGTTAAGGAGTGGTTCTGGAAACCTAGAACTACTGCGTATGCTTTATGTATGGAGAGTGGTCACTCCACCATCACTAACAGGGCACTGTAAAAACACTGCATTCCATGCTGCTGCTACTTTTTTGTTTAGCAGGAGAGAAGAAATGGGTCTTAAGTCACACTGCACTTTATGCAAGATAGCATCCAGTGTGGGAACTGAAACTTAGCACCTCACCTTCCCGTTTTAGTGACTCCCTCTGTCAACACTGCACCTACACAATAGCAGTGTGCTGTAAACTCATGGCAGCACCAAAGCCTCATGTGCGGTAGGCAGATGAAAGCGGTAGGATGTCCCTGAACACCTCTTCTGAAGTCCAACTGCAGCAGAGCAGTTCACCCAGCTTCTGTAATGTTAATCAGCACTTGCTGTGTACCCCTAAAAGTACTCATTTCATTCACCCCAGGTTGAAAGTGTTTACAGCAGGAGCATCCTTTCACTAACTCTTTCCAGACTGTGCAAGGTCAGTATTTATACAGCCTCTGCGGGTTTATTAATCTCAAGCAATCGGTGTATAAGGAGAGCATGAAATGTTCACTAGGAGACTTTTCTACCTTTAGGCTTCTCTCACTTGAAACAAAAGCCTAAAGAAAACTTTCAGATTCCACCCCTACCAGCAGAACCTGGCTCATAAATATAGCATAGGCTTAGGATTCAAAGGTCTGCTTCACTGTCCAGCTACAAAAACTCCTTTAAATTAATCTTTTGTCCCATTACTCCCTAAATGTCCCCTCCTGTGCTCCTCATGAGGTAGCATACTGTTGCCTGCAAACACGAAAAAATCTGGAATCTGATCTTTCCATTCGCAGCACATGTTCTACCATTCCCTGCTGAATCAAGCTCTGGATGAGTGAAAGCAGCACAACAGCTCCGAGAGGCTCATTTGTTTGTGTATCAGTGCCCCTTGTTCCACCTTAATTAGGAAAAAAAAGCCTGCAGTTCGGTACTGCAGCAGCGGGGAAATTCCATAGTGATACAGAAAGATTATAGCAGCATCTAGTGCAGGACAGTAAACTGTATTTGACTGGTATTCTTTGGCTAAAAAAAACAAACCAAAAAACAACAAACAAACAAAAAAACAGTCACACCTTGCAATTTGCAACCTGAATACTGAATGCAATGATTTAATGGCATATATGGGGGGGTGAAGTCCCGCAGTTTTGAGTCAATGCATTAACACCAGGATTTCTTGCTCAGTACTAAGATGCCCCTGCAGTCACTCCCAGCAGCTGATTCTCTCCTGCTCAGGGATCAGGCTCCAGTTGGGCGAAGGCCTGTCAGTGGCCAGCCAGTCAAAGTCATCCACCAGGTTCCAGTTGTTTCTGTCCCTGTCCAGCCCAGACGACTCGAAATCTCTCTCAATGCCGGGGTAGCTCCAGGTGTAGGGGGCAAAGGAGACCCTGGTGCAGTCCTCGATCACGGCTCGGCTGGTCACCTGCACGTAGAAGCGGCTGCTGCGGGTGCGATGGGTGCGGAGCTGCTGGCAGGCCAGCGCCAGGAGGCAATCGCTGCAGCCGTCCACCACCACGGAGGTGGACACGGGCCCGCAGAGCACGGTGCAGCCGCGGCAGTCGCGAACCCGCAGCGTGTTGGCGTTGCCGCGGAGCCGCACCTGGCAGCCGCGCAGCTCGCACAGCAGCACGTCGCGCTGCAGCAGCTCCGCGGGGCCGAGCTCCAGCTCCTCATCCTCGACGCCGCTGAACCCGCACAGCGGCGGCCCGCCCGGCTCCCCTTCGGCGGGCCCGTAGCCGGGAGCGGGCGCAGCCGAGGCGGCCGGGGCCCGGGCGGGCTCCGCAGGGCGCGGCTCGGAGCCCGGAGCCGCTTCCTTCTTGACGGTCCGGAAGGCGAATCTCTTCTTGGGCTGCAGCTGCTGGCGCCGCGCCGCCAGGTCGCTCTGCAGCCGCGCCACGGCCTCCTGCCCCTGCCTCACCTCGTAGGGCGCCAGGAACCGCACGCTCTCGGTCAGCAGCTTCTGCAGCCCCTGCAGCCGGGCAGCCGCCTCCTCCAGCAGCCCCGCCGCCAGCAGCCCCTCCAAGGCCTCCCGCTCGCGGGTGAAGGCGGCGATGAAGAACTCGCTCTGCTCCTCCTTCACCACCTGCGCCTCCTTCTTCTGCCGCTGCCGCTCCACGCCCTGCTGCCGCTCCGCTTCCCTCCGCTGCAGCCGCTCGGGCAGCACCGCGGCGGCGGCCGCCCTCGGCTCCTCGCGGGGCGCCTCAGCCTCCCTCGCCGCCTCCATCTTGCCTCCGCGCCTCTCCTCCCGGCCACTAAGCGGCCCGTCCATTGGCTGCCGGCAGCCCCGGTTGCGCCGGCGCCGCCGATTGGCGGGCACAGCGCGGCCCGGTGGGAGGGGGCCCAGGCGCTTTAAAGGGGCCGGCGCCCGGCCGCGGGATGGGGTGAGTGCCGGCGGCAGGTGCCGTGCCGTGCCGTGCCGTGCCGTGCCGTGCCGTGCCGTGCCGTGCCGTGCCGTGCCGTGCCGTGCCGCGCCGCGCCGCGCCGTGCCGTGCGGAGCCGGGGCCCGCGGTACCGCCGGGGCATAAATAACCCCCGCCCCCCTCCTGCCCCCCCCCCCCCGCGCGCGCAGCTGCCGCCTCCCTTCTCCTCATCCCATCTCACAGGCCGCGGGGGTACCCCGGCTGCCGGCGCGCCCAACCGCGCCTCGCCTCTTCTTTTCCCCTACCGCGGGGCTCTGGGGGTGCAGGGGTGCGGCTGGGGCCGCAGAGCGCGGCGGCGCTTCCTGAGCCCCTGGGCCGTGCGGTGCCGGCAGGCGCGGAGCCCCGGGGCTGGGCGGTGGTGCGGTCGCAAAGCGTCCCCGCTGGCTCCTTGTGCGGAGCGGCCGTTAGGAGCTCGCAGGTAGCGGTGTGGAGGTGCTGCCGAGCGGGCTGTGTTGGCTCCTGGCCGCCTGGTTGGTCTGCGGGGTGTTTGGTGCCCAAAGGGAGCTCGGTGGTTGAGGGAGAGCTGTGCCCGTGGTTACTGCGCCCTAGGGAGAGGGCCGTGAGGGATGCGCACGGGCCTACCTGCGATCAGGGTGAGGAGGGCTCTCTTCACGGTTAGGAAACACGCTTTAAGTACAAAGTGGGAAAGCGACCTTCGTTCCGATGTATTTTGAGAACTGTGCTTCTGTGTCACGGAATGTTAATTTTTGCAAGGGAAGTTAACACACAAAGCACTCTTCCAAGATAAATAAACCCCATCCAGTTCTACAAATACCGTGTCCCATCCCTTTGCATTTCAAAGTGTCCTACGGTAAATTAGCATCGGACCTAAACCTATCAGTGGAAGACAAAAGGTGGTAAACCCGAAGCAGAGACTCCAAATTTACTGTCTTCTAATAGGGCGATAGCATTGATCTTTTTTTGGTCTAATTCTCCTGTTAGAAAATACAGATTGTTACGCTACTGAAGGTTAGCATTTTAAAGTGGCCTTAGCTTGAAAGTAGCAATTGCTTTCTGTTCCCTGAGAAATACGGTATTAGGCGTAACACTGTTAGAGTTTTGTAGGGAGTACCTGAATCTTCTATGTAGTAATGCCAGCACAGTTAGGATGATGAAAGGAGGACAGTGAAACACCTTTAATCCTCGTAACGCACAAAGTACTTGCACTAAAATAGAGAATATTCCTTCCTTGTAAAGGGTACAGGATGAAATCGGAGGGTTTTCAAGGGGCTGCTGTGTAACAGCTCCTGTTGTGCAGAAGCAGTTGGGGTTGGGTGGGGGGCAGCAGCATGGGCAATGTCCTGGTTAATGCATTACGGCTCTGAACTGTCACAGTGCCGCATAGGTTCATGCGGCCAGAATTTTGTTCCTGAAAATACAGCTTTCTTAATCAAAACCCTGCAGAAAGGGAGAATGCTCAGTCGTGAACAAGGAAGGGTATCTTGAAACGGTCTCACTTAAGTGGTTGGGGTTTTCACTACCAATGTGTTTAAATACGCATTTAGCATGTCTTAGGCATTTTTGCTAGTAATGGATGAAATCCACTTCTGCAGCAATTGCAGTAATGTTACATCGGGTGAGAATACGGTGCTGTTCGGTCACTGTAAGAAAAAAGAAATCCTTACTTCCATATTGTTTCCTAAGGAATAGATCTGAGTTCTGTTTTACATAGCAGGCTTCTTTGCCTTACGCTCCCACCAGTACGGGTGATACGTGTTTATCCCATACATGAGAATATGGACAGAAAAAGGCTTTTGCTGTTTTTCAGTGTGCACAAATGTGACTGGCTTTGGTGTTGTTACACAAATACGGCCTGAGAGATGAACTGCAGTGGGTAAAACAGTTTTATACCTGAAAAGATTACAGTAAAACATTAACGTGCACAGCCTAAATTAAACGTTAAGTATTTTATGCTGCAGTATAATGGTAAGGTTTTATTGCATTTGGGCACTTAGAAAGCTTTGGAAAGTATTTTGTATTGGTTTTAAATTAATGAGGCCCAAATACACTTGTGAATAGGGGCTTTTGGGAGAGACCGGAATCTTTTCACCTTGCTAATGTGCACAAATAGCCCCAGATAAAAGAACGTGAAGTGTACTGAAAAATTAAAAAGGGAGCAGTAAAATTCTGCCAACTGTCTCATCTTGATGTTCCAAAGTTATTTCCTACACCTACAGTTTGAGGTTTTGGTATGACTGATATTGGTGTATATTTATCTTTTTGTGGTAATACAAATACTGACAATATTCTCCCTGTCGTTGCTGGCAGCAGCTTTTAAGGCTCTTTAGCGTGCCCTGAGCCATAGAGAACAGAGGATTTACAACTTCCCAAACAGTAACCACCTGAATAACAAACACGTAAGCCTTCTAGCTCAGGTTTGGACTCATGTTGGTAAGCTGTAACAAGCAGTTTAGCTGTCCGAGGCTATTAGATAAAAGTAAAGTTACAATTTCTGCCTGCCTGCTGTTCTCCCCCCTCACTCCCTACTTTAGCTCCTCCCTGGTTTGAAGGTAGATTAGCAGTCATTTTACAAAGACCTTTTGCCGCTGCTTGGACTGCACAGGGTCATTTGTTTCCCAGAAGCTGCACTTGCTAACTTGGATCTAGTCCTGTGAAACTCCAGAGCATAAGCTCCGTTACGCCTGCTTCCATGCTTAAATCTGTATCCCTTAGTGATGGCTCTTGAATGCTTTCTATCTGAAATATTTTGTACTGACTTAAACTGGCTCAACAGCATTAACTAGTAACCTTTGGAAGTATTGCATAGTTCGGGTGAAGGTTCAAGATTCTGTCTCATTCCATCCTTATTTTAAGAAAAGTGGGGAGTAACAGTGAGATCTATAAAGGCAACTGGCTTTCCAGCCTCACAGCAGTGGATTCTTAAACCTGAGGTTCCTGAGCTTGCAAAGTCAAGGACCTCATAGTTGTGGCACTATCTTGAGATGCAGATTTGTGCTCTCTCAAGCAAAGGAAGGAAGCAGATGCAGTTATTCCTTATCATCGGTCTGTGTTCCCAGCACTGACGTTCTTAGTTCCAAGCGGTGGAATGCCTGTACCTTGCGCTGTCGCACACAGAATGCTGGTTTGCCTTTTAGCTGTGTTTTCAAGAAAAGCAGCAGCCCTTTGTCTTGCATGGAGCTCTTTCTTATCTGATCGATGGGATCTCTGCTGTTACACTGAGTTTCTCCAGAAGAGATTAGCACATGAACATAATTACTTCTGGCTACAAAGTAGGTACTTCAGTGGCTTGTATAAGCGTCGTGGCATTCTGCTGCTGGTTTTAGCAAGGGCTCTTTGAACTCCTCTGGCACTGTGATCAGGCATTAAAGATGTAAGCCGTAGTATGATCCATTTAAGATACTGTACACGACATTTTTCACGGTGGAATGGGGCTGCAATAAAAGTGACTGTCAAGCCACTGTATTCCTGTTCTCCTGGGGAAAAAAAAAAAAAAGTTTAAGTTTCTTTACCATTACGTTTGGCATGCTGGTTGTTTTTTAAAAAGCTTATGTTTGGACTAAAATGTAGTGCTTTATGTACTTGGCCATATGGAAAGGCAAGACAATGTAAAATGTGTGTGTTTTAGATCACTAATTAGGGAGTTAGAGCTACAACTGTGAAACTTACTCGGTGCATCTTAATTGCTGTGAGTAATGCAAAAGCTTTGAAATGTAATCCTTGGGAATGCTTAAGATACTAATTATATTCCGACCAGGCAAGGTGCACTTGTTGGGAAACGAGTCTGAGCTGGTCCCTTCCGAGAACATGGTATTCTCAGTGCCAAAGGTGGAGAAACAAACCGGTTTCTAGGAAAATGAGCTACCCTCCAAAAGCGGGGACAGACTTCAAAACGTAAACGACAAGGGGCACCTCAAGACGAACAAATCAAGACACAATACACAGAGCACAAAAGCTCAAGAGCAGAAGAGAACTTAGGTTCGGCCCAGGCCTTGCTGTAATGGGTATTTAGAATCCTAAACTTGCTAATTGACAGTTAAATTGTGAGGACCAAGTGCGTGAGCTGCAGATGCTGTCTTACGCACTCTCACTTCGAAGTAATAATTCTGTTAGTCCTGGAGCTCCTTAAGAGAATTTCCCGGTTTGGAATTGTGGATCTTAATTGCAAATATATTCCTCCTTTTTTTTTTTTCCCTGAGTAATTTATATAAAAATATCTTGAAGACATTATATCCAAGTTTCCTGATTTTTTTTTTTGTTAGCTCTCCTGTAGTACATTCATTAGTTAACCAAGCTAAGAATACTGAGAAACTTACTCTGCCTTTTATTCATCTTATGAGCAAAATCTGTCTGCTCTCATTGTGAAGGAGGACTGCCTCCTCCTGTTATTAGCATTTATTCTTCAGTCTCAGTCTGAGAATAAATTCCATTCATGGCAATACACTTTTTAGTGATAATATTAAGACTTATCTTTCAGCAGTCTTTATTCATACCCAAATCTTACCCAGCCGGTTTCTAGTAGGGTCCCAGAAATACCCAAGTAAAACCATTCTTTCTCAAAAGTTGGGACTTAGATGGTGCTTTGTTCCCAATGTCCATTTTGTCTTGTCCTTCTACAAGTATAGCTTAGCATGTTTGTGTTATTAATTTTTTTGGTATAACTTACTATTCCACTGTTTCTATTTCCCCTCTAATGCTTCACTTCATGTTTTAGGTCTCCATTTTTTGTTTAAGTTCCTTCTGGTTTTATTTAGTGGTTTTTAAATCATCCGCAGCACCTCGGCTGTATTAGGAATGGGCCTTTTGTTACTTTCAAGGCCCAGCTGCTGGTTTGAATTACTACTGCTTTAAAAAGCAAACACGGCAAACCCTTGTGTCCATCTCCTCATTACACACCGGTGTGTTTCTGTATCTTTACTTAACTGGGTTTTTTTTCCCCATTCATCTCTGAATATTATAGAGGCTTTCCCGAATTTCTGCCTTCATTTTTAGTTTAAATTGCTTATATAAATCTTGGCTGTGTAAGCTGTTGAAGTTTATTTCTCCAGACACCGTAGTAAGGTTCTATCTGCAGAGGTGGTTTTTCCCCAATACATTTCAGTGGCTTACTGTCTTAAGACTATTCTAAATTGGAAGCGAGTGCTGTTCATCTTTCAAACTTAATTCTCCTTTTTAATGTACTCTAAGAATACGACTCTATTTAAACAACCTAGAGCATGAAAGAGTTATTTTTGATCTGTTTCAGTAATAATTTTGCGCTGTCATTTGTTTTGATGTGGGGCCCCGTCACCACATTCTCTCTGGTTTTACTTGTCTTCCATACGTCAGATCCACACCTCACAGCAGCACAGTTCTTCAAAATCTGTTCTTCAGATTCGTCACAGAACAGCCCTGTTGGCATTCACACAACCTCCAGCCATAGAAACCCGTCTGTCTCCTGGTACTGGTGTAAATCTCTTGTTCCGAGGCTCACTCTTTGTTACCTCTTCTTACTACCTGTATCGTAACCAGCCATCCCTTAAGATACGTATTGGTTAGACAGTCACGTGCTTGGTATGATGACTGATACTGGAGTCATACAGCTTTGGAAGTTACATCATGCAATTATGAGCCTGGTTTTGTAAGTAGTTTTGTGCAAGCTGAAATTTGCCAAGTTTAGGAAATTCTTACTGAGAGGGTCCTGATACTGGTATCTGTATCGATACTGATAACAGATATCGAACTGGATTTTTCATGTGGTATGTTGCATTTATATTCCAAATTAAAGTCTTTTGTCTCCCTTCATGCCACTGTATTTGAGCGCCCTACCTTTTAAGTGTTGTGACTCCTTCCTTTCTGTTGCTGCTGCCTTTCGAATGATGACCTATCTGTGCCTTCAAGCGTAGAGTTACTTATTCTTATCTAAATTAGTAATTTATAAAGCAGTGCGTAGTTGTAGTTGGATAAATAGTGTGTCTGGTGATGAGCTGACACAAGAAGCAGGTTAAGTGATGGAGAGATAAAGAAGTGCCATCCATACAGCTGAAGCACTGTCTGAGGAAGCAAGGCAGCAGTAAGCAGCTCTTTTCCATCCGATATACCTCAGAGAGGATGCAGTGAACTGAGGTTACAAAGCAGCTATTTAAGCAGAATCTTGGGATGACTGTGGAATTTATTCCTTTAATGCAAATGGGTTAGCCTGTAAATTCTTCTTTATGAGTCTGCTGCCCTTGATCTTTTGGAGTACTAATTTATGATTGCACAAGGATTGGAATGCTTGTGATACAAACCTGGAGAAATGGGCTGGGTAATAATAAAGTCACTTGATCTGAGAGAAACCTGGAGACAGAATGAAGGAAGAGGGTGTTTAATACCCCCTTATTTTCTCCCTCTCAGTATCTAAGCCTAGTTTTTACTTCTGCACAGTCTTCTGTCATTTCAGGGCCGTGTATCTCAGCTCGCTGCAAATGTCACTTGGTGTCTTTGCACACCTATGAGAGTGGTAGCTGTTAAACAGCATGGTCACAGTGTGACAGCTGATGTCAAAATACAGCAGACTGGTGTATTGTGTGCTGGGTGCACATGATGTTCCCTGTAGCTCTGCTTGAGAATTACTGCGCCAATGCCTGTTTTCTAAAGGTTTCTCCTATTCCTTCTTGACACTGGTCTGGCCTTTCTTCTCATGCTTATTTCCCCTTACTCCTTCTGAAGCAGCTACGGGAAAATGAATGAGAAAACAAATTAATGTGATTGAGGAAGCCAGAGAGAGACAGGAACTGAATGTGCGTTGTACACAATTCAGAGAAGAGGACTTTGGCTGAGGACAGCAGCTCTGGGCAGGTGACCTGGGGGCAGAAGAATTTTGATGGGTTAGGGTTTTTGTGTTAATGCTGTTAGGCGGTGAGAAGAGGGGCAACCTCCGGGGGAGTGACACCCACTTCAGAAACACCCTGTGATCCCCTTGAAAAATAAGCATGAGAACCTCAGAGCAAAAAGCAGTATTTCTTTATAAATGTGGTCTGGAAAATTCTGTAGTACACCAGAAGGTGGTAACACCACAACTGAAGACTGCAGCCACGCTTTTTAGTATTGCAAGTAATGTTAAGTGCGTGCTTTAGTCTGACCTATAAAGTCGCATCCACCCATTTCTACCTGAGCCAGTTTTGTTTCTGAACCAATATAGCAAAGATAGAATTATATATGCTTTTTTACTTCTGCAGAGAGCACAGTGTGTTCTGGCGTGGTTTTGTTCACTCAACGGCCATGTAAAGGGTTTTCATTCTTAAGCTCACCCTTTTGTGTAGATCTGGAGAAATCTAGTGTGGTCAGGGCACTTCACTGTATCAGATGTTAGCTCTCCTTCCCTTTTTGTACTGTCCCTGCTTAGCAAGGTTATTGCCAATGCTGCTTCAAAACATGCTCCAGGGAAAGTAAGTATAAATTATGGTACAGTCACGGACAATTTAGGTAGGCTTGCTCATGTTACTTATAGGAAGGGAAGCTACCGAAAATCACGTGTCCTCTTTCCTCCTCTTCCTCCTTGCTCTTGCTTACTTCCCATTGTGGTTTTTGTAGGACTGGGAGACTAATAATAATAATACACCGGTCAGATGTTCTGCCTCATAACCTCTGAAACAAAGTTCCTTCCTGTTAACTCGAGCAGAACGCTTGTGGCGGCCCTGCAGCTCACAAGTTCCTACTTTAGCAACGTTCTCTAATTCTCAGCCAGTGATGCTGAGTAAGCTTTAATTCAGGGCAGCGTCGGGTCCCCTGAAGCATCTGCTGAAGTTAGGGACCTTTAAGTGCGGCCTTTTCCATTTTTTAATGCTACTGTCGGGAGTGTTATGGGCTGTAAGAGTCATTAGGATGTGGAGCTCTCTGGCATGTGGTGTTTCTGTCCATGCTGCTGGCTAAGTCAGGTTCATACTGCCTTTATGAGAAGTGAAGCCAGTATTTCAGCTGATGGGGTAGGCAGGACCATGCTTGTGTTTGCTATGTCTGGGCTGCACTGAGGATCTGTTGCACTCACGCTAAAGCCCAACCCTTCCATTTAGGGAGTGATTTGAAACTTTACCGTGGAAATACGTGTAAACAACAACTGCAGGTCTTGGCTTTGGCAAAGGTTTGGAATCGGGCTTTTACCCTTTGTTTCCCGTATAATAATCTGAGTTGGTTGATTACTTCAGTATTATAACCGGGTCCTAACTGAAAACAATGCTGAGGTGCTGACCGGTTTTAAACATAAAAGATCTGGTCCACTCCTTCAGGAAGGTCCACATAGTACATTGCCCCTGTAATGGTTTGGTTTGTCTTTTAAAAACTCAAAACCTCAAGTGCTTTTTGAGCTGTAAAGCTAACGAAGCGTGCGCTGCTACACAGAGGCTTCAAATCCGGGTCTCTAGGGAGTTTTTGAAGTTACTTTTTGCTAAAACCAGGGAAGGTTGCTGTGCACAAGTCCTTGGGACTTACTAGCAGAAAAAGGTCTCAAACAGATTTCCTGTTTTAGAAGCATTACTATATATGTACCTCTACATGCTAAGAATCTCTGTTTCCAATCAAGATGTTAAGAAACTAGGCTTGTCTGCATCGGCTGAACGAAGACTGTTTTAGTGATGTGTTTAATGAATATTTGAGTTAGTTTTGTAGAACCCAGAAGCTTTGACCGAAATTCTCGTACCAACGCGTTCAGACGCAGTAAACTGTAGAACTGTATTAATGAACTCGCAGTGCTGTGAGCATTTTAACCTAAAGTGCTCGTTTTGCGAAGGAGCATTTCAGGTTACCCCCGGCTCTCTTTAAGCAGCTGAAATCGGTGTCATCTGGTTTCCATGCAGCGGTAAGAACGTATCCAAAACCCACCCAAAATACGGCAACTTGTAAAAGGGTCAGATCTGACTTTCTCTCTCAAGGTGACCTTGCATTTTTCCGTGCCCCTTGCTCCAAGCCTGTCGTGGTTTATATATACAACTTCAATACGAAGGCAATCAGCCAGGCCGTTAGAATTAATGCAGGGAAAAGCTCGTTTTTTACTTTTCTAACCCAACCCCCCCCCCCAATTTTTAACCGAAACTAAACCGCTCGGCCGTGTCTACATTGCCGGCTGTACGGCCTTCTCAAAGGGGGGGGGGGGGGGGGGGTAGGAAGGGGAGAGAAAAGAGGAGCTAAACTTTGTTGAAGGGACTGACTGTGGCGATGGCGCTGGAGCCGGCGGTGTGTCCCGCCGGAGGGGAGCGGAGGGGAGCGGAGCGGTGCCGCGCTGTGCCGTGCCGTGCCGCGGTGCGGTGCGGTGCCGCGCCGTGGTGTGCCGTGGTGCCGCGCCGCGCTCTCCTCCCGCTCTCTTTCTCTTCCCCCCTCCCTCCCTCGCTCTCCCGCTCTGCCTCTCTCTCTCTTACACTGCCAGCCCCTGATGTGATGGCGAAGAAACCCCGTTGACAAGGCACTGCTTTTTCATGACGGTGAGTTTCCCTTTGAGTGTATTATAATTTTGTGATAAAAATTTCAAGGAAAAAAAAACCCACACAACCTCCTTCCTCCCTTCCTTCGGGGAGGGAAAAGAGAAGGGGGGGTGGGGGGGAGAGGAAAATCTATCTCCAGACAGGCAGAAAAGAAAGAGGAGCAAATTAACAACCAGGAGTTGCCAAAACCAGGATATTAGGTTTCAGCCCAGAGAGCTATTGGCTCTGGGGCTATGTATATAAATATATATCTAGAGAGAGAGAGAGAGAGCGAGAGGGGAGACGAGACGAGGAGAGGAGAGGAGGAAGAAGAGGGATGTTTTGTGGGTGGCTGTTGTTTGGGCAGATGTGGCTTCACATGGGAATGAACTATATATATATTTATATATATATATATATTTATTCTTCCGCGAGGTTGGTGGTGGTGGCTGCTGAGGGCACGCAAAAAAAAAAAAAGTTGTTTCTTAAAATAAAGGCGGAGGGGTGTGTGTGTAGAAAGGAGAGATAAGGTTTCAGGTCCAGGCTGATAGCTGCAGAGAGGGGAGAGGTTTGGGGTGGGTTGTGTGGGGTTTTTTTTCCCCCTTCTCGCTGATGCCATGCAAATTGAGGAGAGGAGGGAAGGGAAAAAAAATCTCTTTTAATGACTCATTGATTGAGCCGGTTTAAAATTAGTTGTTGTTGTTGTCTTTCTTTTTTTTCCCCCTCTCTATTTTCCGCCCCCTTGACGGCCATCAAGAGAGGGATGGAAAGAGGAGAGGAGGGAGCGTGTGTGTGTGTGTGTGTGTCGATGTGTGAGTGCGGGAGAGTGAGAGAGGGGGATAGAGAGAGTGTGTGAGGGAGAAAGAAAAATAATCTTTTCAAATCTCCTCCCTCTTTTTCTTCCCCCCCTCGGTTCTTTGCTTTCCCTCTAAAGCTCTGTGGTCTGGGAAACGCTCGTTCATCCTCCTCGCCGGGAAAATGGAGACGCTCCGTGCCTCTCCCGGCCGCGCGCCTGGGAAGGATTTTTCCTGCCTTTTTCCCTTTTTTTCCCCCACTCCCGGCTCGGTTTTCGCCCCGTTTCCCCCGTCCGCTCGCCACCACCCTCACCTTGCCGTTTCCTGCGCGCATTCCTGCCTTCTGGGGATCTGTTTCTTCGCTTTTCCTCGTTTTGTTTTTTTTTTTTCCTCGGATTTTGATGCGATTCGTTTGAGCCGCCTTTGCCGTTTCCTCGGGATCGCTCCGTGCCGCCCGCTTCCAACCGAGAGCGATGGAAGCGGTGCTGCTTTTTGTGGGTGCGCGGTAGGTTTGGGGCTAATGCGCTTACCCCCCTCCTTCTTTTCGGGAACGATTTTTCCGCCTTTTTATTTTTCTTTTTACGTATTCTCCCCCCCCCCCCCCCTTCTTTTGGAGATGTATT